TCAGAAGGGTGCAAATTCTTTGATGGAGGGAGAAAAAAAGGGGCGAGGACTTCTAATCTGATCAGGGAAGTTGACTTTCATACCGATGAATTCAAAGGCTGGGCCTCTTATGAACAAGGTAAATGTAGATGAACAATCTGGAGGGAGAAGTGTTACCACCTGATTTGTTTAAAGCTACTCAGAAGGTGGTGGCTCTTTAAGCTGAGGCTCACTGGTGGCCTGGTCTAGAAGTGGACAGACTTGTGGCCTGTCATCTTCAGAGGATGCCAGTTGATACGAACACCTAAGTCCACAGGAACATGAGGTAAGCTCTACGGTGCATCATCTGCTGTTTTTCTTACACCTGAAGACTTGGTTATACCGGGAGTTGGTTTTACCAGCATTCAGGAATTGTGACTATACAAGTTCAAGCCCCTGTTACAAAAACAATAAAAGAGTGGTTTGCACTGATGTTGTTTCAGGCATAGTGAAAGTATCAGCATTGACAAGGAGGTTCTTAACAGTTCATTTGTGCTGCTGAAAGCTACTGGTAGTGAAAACCTAAAAAGAACACCTAAAGCCTGATTCTTCTATGCCTGCAGATATTTTATTATGTAGAAAAGTTGCAGCAGCTTATTGCGCAGTTTGTCTGTCTTTTGCTGTGTTACTGTATTCTCATTTGGATATTGAAATAATGTACAGACTCCGTTTCCTCCCAGTGACTTGCTCCACAAGACATTTCAATGGTATTTTAAACAATGCTTTGGAAATGGGTTTCTCTAAAGTTCACGTGCTTCTAGCCAATGATGTGTAAGCCAGAGCCCTTGCAAGGGGTTGTCCTGTAGAAAGCCCATAGGCTTTCCAGAGTGCACACTTGCTTTTGCTCCTGCCCTGTGGAAATAGGATTTTCTTTCTGTCATTTCTTTGCCTAGGACACTGCTTAAGGATCTAGGCCTCTTGGGATTTGTGCACAAATAAAATTTTGCACCTTGACCCTTATTTGTCTCTGGCTTTGTAAGCCTAGATGTTGAGATATTTACTGATAGTCTGTCCTTTTAAAATGGCCTGCGGAATAAACTGAGGCAATCATGGAAAACTGAACTGTGTGGAAGGTGATGATTGCTGAGTGGACAGAAGGTTTGCAAGGCAGATTGAGAAGTGCCTCTGAAAATATTAGTCCGTTACCAAGCAAAACACTTGTATGAGAGTGTGAAGTGCTAGGAATGAAAATGATCAAGTGTTACAGCCAAACTAAAACTTTAATTTTCACTTGACTGATGTTTCTCTGGCTTGGCTCATGCTTGGATCTTGTTAGGAGAGGGATATCTCTTCAACTGGAAGAAAAATCCTTTCATGTTGTTTTTCTCTCAAATTAAGGTAATCCACTGTAGGCTGGCAGTCTGAGACTGTGGACTTTTGGTTATGCATTTGGTTTTCTGATAATTTCTCATTCAACTTTCCAGTTTGGCTATATATTCATTTAGTTACTGAAATTAATTAAGTTTCAGCCTTAGTTGAAATTAGTCAAAACAGAGACTCTTTTAGCAGCAAGACCAGAAAAAGATCTCGTTTTAAGACAAGGTGAACTTTACTGTGTGGCCTGGTATCGAGATTGAGGTGTGTTCTGTCCCTTCTCTTAGCCAGTGTGTATCGGTGATTTTGTTAAAACTTGCTGAATGCAGGGAGTGTGTAAGGTTCTTGTGAAAATTTTGTGGACTAATTTTTTGGTTTTGCAGGAGTTGAACTGGAAACTTAGTCTCATTAAGCCTTTCTTCATTTGCTAAAGTTGGATCTTAGGATTTTTTCTTACTAAAAGAACTACATTTTTTTTTAAACCACATGTTATATATAGATACAGGCTCTTCCTTATTTAACTGTAAATTAAATATGAGTAGCAACAGTATTTTAGGCTAAGTGAATATTTCCAGATTTATGATATATTTCAGCTGTTCAAAGTAGCTTAAAATCTGTACTCCTTTGGACAGTACTTGGCAAAAAGGATAGGTATGCAGAAACAAAGTACAGTTGCTCTGAAGCCTATGTTATGCTGTACATTGAAAGCCTGTCCATTGAGGAGGGAACCCTTATCTTTTATTTACAAGGTGTATTTTGCAGATTTTTCAATAGGGTGGCTAGTGAAATCTGCAGCAATGGTAGCCTTTGTTTTTAGCAGAGGAAATGACGCTTGCAGTAAGCACAAAATTGTGAAAGTTCTTCTCTTCAAATGTAAAGTCTTGCACTAGCAAAATGGAAGGCAAGGCCTTCGCAAATACAGGGACTGGTGTATAGAGAGGGATTGTAATTCCTGGCACCAGCGTCTCTCGCAGCATCCTCTGAGGTAGTGTGGTTTTACACTGCCCCTTACTGGGGCTCTCACATAGTGCAAGAACTAAAGGAGATCTGGATGCCCAAAAGTTTGCTTTATTTGGGTTTTTATATTTTTCCCTGCCCTGAGGTATGAGCTAAATAAAATACAGTGCTCTTCTTTGTGTGTCTAAATGGATTATTTATATTTTAAGTTACTTTACGCTTGATTTTAGTATTTCACGATGTTCAGATGTTTCATTGTGTCCTTCAGGTTTCCTTGAAATCTCCTTGTGGAGTTTGGTGACAATGGTCTTTGATACACATCCAAATTCGTGGAAGCCATGAAAGCTTTGAATGAACGAGGATTTGTTTTTAATTTTTAAACTAGTGACCAGCAGGAGTGACTTTGGACCACATTACCACTACATTGCCATTCATTCCAGATCTGAAAGAATGAGGAATTAGAATCATAGGGAATTCTGCCTGTTACTACTGAGAAGTGAGATAGGGCTGAGTTCGCTAGATAAACGTTAAAACAACCTCACCATTCTGCTTTGTTTGCTAAAAATAGTCTTCTCTTTAGAGTTGAGGACATTTCCTTTAGCTAAATGGGTTGCTTGGGTAGAAAGATAATGGGGGTGACGACAATGCAGTGAATCTTTTGGTTTAAAACTGAAAGGTTACTGAGTTGACTAATCAGTTCTGTTGCCATGGTGTGTGGCACAAGTAGAGATCTTATTTAGGGATTACTATTGTATCTTAGAGTACTGACATGGAGGTAAGTTGGTGGGGTTTTGATATGTAATGTGAATCTCCTAGTATTCTGTAGATCCTAACGAACTACCATTTTTTTGTGTAGAAGGAAGCTTTGAAATGCTTTTAACTGATTGATGCAATCAAATATATTTTCAAAATTGACCTTAAAAGTATAAAATGTCCTCATAACTTATAGACTGTTGAGCTTATTTTGTACGATAGCTTTCATCTGCTTTGATCTGTTGTACTTTAGGGGGGAGGGCTTTTCAACAATATCTGAAGTGCAGTAAATATCTGCTGGGAATCAAAAAACAAAATATTAACTTGGCTAGATTCCCAGCTCCCCTTGTGATGCACAGTTAAGTACCCCACTGTTGGAACTAATTACTCGTATTTAAGCATTTTCAGAAATCCTTAAACCTTTCTTTACAATCTGGCTGTATAACCATACAGCACAAAGTTTTAAAACTGGTGATCCTTACTGGGCTTAATTTCATGAAGGAAAATATCTGCTAGGGCATGGGTAAAAGGCAGCAAAAGGAGTCCTTGTTACAGACAGTTTCCCTTCACTTATTGTATAGAACAGCCTTTCTGTGCAAAAACTGCAAGCTCCTTTATGGAATGAGGATGGTGATGGACAGAGTGTGAGACATTTGGGGGTGAGTATTCTGGTGAAGAGTGACCTGTGATGCTCTGGTGTTCCATGGACTGAATAGGGGAAAGGACAAAGATGTCCAGGAGAAGAATGCATTCTCCTTCTGAGATTGCTCAAGAGTCAGGAACTGGTACTGTAAGGAAGAAATACACCATTAAAGCATTAACAAAGAGTGTTTTTTCCATAACTTGTTGACCCAATAGCCTGTTAGACCTTGTGGTCTCCTTTATCAGACTTTTCAGAGACCACATTCTAATAGGAAGATTTGGTTTGCAAACACTGTTTCATTTGGTTGCACAGAGCAACTCTAAGTCACCGTGGCCTCACGGCCTACGTAATTCATGAGCTACAGTCTATAATTACTTGCTATGAAGAATTCCTATAGTCTAAAGATTGCAATCACAAGAGTCAGTGTCTTGTAAAATACCTGCATTTGGATGTTTCTAACTAATTGTAAAGACCTGTACTAACACTTTTTTCAAGTACCTAAAACTATCCTTTTAACTGGGCATATCCAACCTAAATGACTCTATAATTCTATGAAATGTTAATTGGTGATAGTTTGTGAGAGTTCCAGCACTAAATGGGGGTATCTGAAATTCCCTAATCGAAGGTGATCTACTCCATTTCCAGAAAGGTTTCCTGAATGACTCTGTCAATCTTCCTAGGTCCACCAAAAGCATAATATTGTTGAATGTTATAAATGTGTTTGCATGCGCTCTCAAAGGCCAACATTTTGAATGCCAGAATAAGGAGAAGAAAGATTGAGATAGTGGTATTTATCAAATGAATTGTGCTCAGCAACCGTGTCTAAGAAACTCTGACTTCAAAAAAAGCTATGAAGTCAGAGAAAGGTTAACTAGCTCTTGTTAATCTAAACTCTTTTATCTTGACTAATGAAGGGAAGCAACATCATAAAGCTAATCTGGAGGCTGGAACTGTCAGTACCATTACTAGGTTTTTTTTGTAAAAACAAAACTGAATGAACCATGAAAAATAAATTAATGATAACCTGATTTTGTATCCCATGCAGGTTTTTTTTCAAGTTCTGGAAGTAGCAGAGCATTTGGTTGCTAACTGACCTGAAACTTGGGCTCCGCCTTGGAAAGATTTGCAGTTGGGAGACGTTCACCTTCACATACCCCGCAGTTCTCTGCATCAGAATAAAGGGACTTCATGTGCAAGAGTGGTTCAAGATGATGATGTAACGCTGATAACGCTGAAGGTCTGCTGAGAATAACTGACTTTGCAAGAGCGAGAGGCTTCTCCCTCCGCTTTGCCCCCTTTTTTTTCCCAATAACTTCCTCTCTCAGAAACTACAAGCAAGATGCCAGCCAAGACACCCATCTACTTGAAAGCTGCTAACAATAAGAAAGGAAAGAAATTCAAGCTAAGGGATATCTTGTCTCCTGATATGATCAGTCCACCACTTGGAGATTTTCGTCACACCATACATATTGGAAAAGAAGGACAACATGATGTTTTTGGAGACATCTCCTTTTTGCAGGGCAACTATGAGCTATTGCCTGGAAATGAAGGAGAAACCAGAATTAGCCAGTCCAGTGGCCACAATGAATTCTTAAGGGCAAACAGCACTTCTGAATCCATGTTTACAGAAACTCCATCACCAGTGCTCAAAAATGCTATTTCCCTTCCTGCCATCGGGGGTTCTCAAGCCCTTACGTTGCCTTTATTGTCACCAGTGACATTTAATTCAAAGCAAGAATCCATCAGGTCATCAAGAAATCCTAGGCTTAGCTGTGAGCCAGTAATAGAAGAAAAATTGCAGGAGAAAAGTAAACAGTTGGAGGATGGAGAAACATACAAAGATGACATATGGGAGCAAAATGATGGCTCTTCGCATCTTAGTAATGGTAGAGACAGTCACTCATCCAGCTTTTCTGAACGATGCACTGATTGGCAAACAGTTGATTTATTTGATGACAGTCAACTTCCATGTGAACTAACCAAGGCAAAGACTAAGTCAGAAGAATCCCTTTCAGATCTTGCAGGCTCTCTTCTCTCCCTACAACTTGACTTGGGACCTTCACTTTTGGATGAGGTCCTCAATGTAATGGACAAGAATAAATCTTAGAACTGGTACTCCCTTGCTTCTTTATAAATGATTCACTTAAACAAAAACAAACAAAAAAACATAGTTCAAAAGCAGAGACACTTAAAAATCAGCTGTACTTGCAGTTGTTTGACGGGTTTTCTAAAAATATTCTTAAAATACTATTTTTTTACCTATTGTTTTTCATGATTTTTATTACACTAAATTCTCATAGCAGGAAGGTAAACTTAAATAACAGTTTTCAGCAAATATAAAATGTTTTTAAGTACCAGTATTAATGATCAGAAACTTAAGAAACACAGTTTGAGGATGATACTGATTGTTGACGATTGGTGACACTCCTGTGGGCTTCTGAATATATGAGAATCTCTAAGTGTCAGAAAGCAGACAGATATTAATTATTCACTTTTATAAATTATTACAACATTACTTTACATGTAGGCCTCTTTCTAGAACCTTGTGTTTGAGGGTTTGATAGTGTTTTTCTTCATTTTCCATAGTACCATTTCTGTTACACCTTCACTGTAACTAAGTTCTTGGTCTTATACTACAGCTCTGTATTCAGATGTGAACAATTTGAAGGCTTTTTCAGTTTGAACACCTGGTCCAGAGTCTCAGCTGCTTTAAATGAGTATGCACAAATTTACACAAGTTGAGGCTTGGGCCTGACATTGTATATGAAATGATATGTTGTAAACAGGTGACACATGCAAGATATTATGGTTAAATTATTTTAAAAGTTTAAATATTTTTTGTGTGCATATTGGCTTTTTACTGCAGAGCCTACACATACAGTATCTCATCAAAATAGTTGCTTGGCATTATGGGTGCTCTTCTGAAAATTGTATATGTGTGTGTTTGAAAAGAAATATGTATTGACACTCCTTGCTTTTTTTCTTCATTTATTGCCACACATGCTTAAACTTGCAACTGATTATTTTAATTTTTGGAGAAAGCACTGGTTATTCACAATGCTTGTGATGTGTGCTGCAACAGCCAATGTTTTGGGAAATGTGGATCTTTTAATACAGTACCTACGTGGATTGCATAGATATCTTGTGCAATACAATAAACAAAACTTTAAATTGCTATGTCTTTGTGATTCAGTACATAGCCTCACCCAAATATGAAGTTTTGTTTTCTGCTGTAATGAAACAGACTGCAGTAGAGTTGCAGAAATATGGGACCAAGGGGCAGATCAATTCTACTATCTTAATTCAGTTGAGTTCTACAATTTGATTTAATTCCCGAGGTTTTAAGGGCAAACTCCAAGCAGGTAGGACCCTCTGGGATATACAATGATTTTAAGTAATTAGAGACAAGAGACTGCTAGACTACTATTTTGGTCCTAGTGAAGTTAATGGCAAAGTTCCAGCAGGTTTCACTGAAGTCTTTACGTAAAATCCTGACACAGTTTGTAGACTGTTCCTCATTAGATAACCACATTTATCTGTCTCTTCCTATCAGAACATGTAAATCATGGATTGTGGTGAACGGTGTTAAATCCGGTGGCGGCTGGTCACAAGC